AAGTGTAATTTGGGAAAGAGTGACTCGTCGAGTCCATGGATGGACTCAGCGAGTAGAGTCGCGACTTGGTCGCGTGTTAAATAGCCGACTCGGCGAGTCATTGAGATGGACTCGGCGAGTAGGCGCTGAGTGGAGAAAACCCTAATTCTCGGGGTTGAGCCCTATATAAAGAGCATTATGTTTCCTCCCCAACCTCTTTATCACCCTTTGAGTCCCTGAAACCCTAAAATCGTGGAGAAGCACCATTGTTGAGAGGATTGGAGCTTGGAGAAGTATTTGTTGAAGAAAGTTTGGAAGTTTGAAGGTGTGGAGCAAGGGGCTTAGCTTGGATTCGAGTTCCTTGCAGGTTGGGGCGTTCTTTTGAGGTAATATCTCGTTCTTAGGCTATTGTTATCTTGTTTGATTCATTTTGGGGTTTGAGGGAAGCTTATCTTGGGTGATATTCGAGTCTAGAGGTTAGATCTGAGGTTGCTACCTCAGATCTGGAATGGAGGAGAGTTGGAATGCAGGAAAGTCCATGTGTTGAGTGTTGGATGAAGCTATCTTGTCCCAAACCATAGCCCTAATGTGCAAAATGCATAGATCTCTTTGGATTCACGTAAAGATTGCCACTTTACGTGATGGATGAGTTGTAGGAGGCTAGATCTATGTTTCGAAATCAATTGCATGGTCTGGAACGCTTCTGTTTGGATTCAGACCGGTGGTACTCGACGAGTCACATGGGTGGACTCGACGAGTTGCTTGAAGACGAGCTGAGACTCGACGAGTTGGAAGAACAACTCGGCGAGTTGGATGAAGATGGTCTGGAACTCGACGAGTTGGATGAACAACTCGGCGAGTAGGTTGAAGATAGCCTTAGACTCGGCGAGTCTATTCTTGGACTCGGCGAGTCTTGTCGAAGAGTCCCAACATTTTCTGGTTGAGTCGAAGAATCGGCGAGTCAAGGGATGACTCGGTGAGTTAGGTGCGAGTGGACTCAGAGTTGTTGGACTCGGCGAGTCTCGGGGTGACTCGGCGAGTTAGGTCGCGAATTGAGTGAAGTTTTGAGTTGGGAACTCGGCGAGTCATAGGGTTGACTCGGCGAGTAGGGTCAGTCAGGGGTTGACTTTGACCCAGTCTTTGGGCCAAGGGTTGACCAGTGGTTTCCAGGGGTATTTTGGTAACTGTTGATTATGGTTTTGAGTTCAGTGCATTGGTGGCTGTCCAGTGGTGGAGATCGTATCAGTGATCGGAGCAGCTTGGGTTATCTGTTCAGTCGGCAGTTTCGAGGTGAGTTATCCTCACTATATCTATAGGGTTTAAGGCACCAAGGCCGACCCTTTTTATCGGATGGAAATCCGAGTAATTGTCTGTTGTATGATATTGCGGGATATGGGCCGGAAGGCGTTACGTTATGGGCCGGAAGGCATTACATGTTGTGGGCCGGAAGGCAATACGATGTGGACCGGAAGGTCATGGCCTGGAAAGGCGTATGTGCATAATTAGTATGTTGGGTGAGTCGTAGGGTGATGTTATGCTAGTGATCGGCTAGGTTGGTATCTTGGTTAGAGTAATGATATGCTATGTGATCTGTTGATCGATTTGCTAACTGTGAACTGTTATATGATTACATGTTATGTGCATGGTTGTTTTATGTTCTGTCATGATATGTATGCTTTTTATGTTGCGGGCCAGAAGGCGATATGATATGGGCCGGAAGGCTATGTGTTATGGGCCGGAAGGCATTACGCTATGGGCCGGAAGGCGATATGTTTTGGACCGGAAGGTTGTGGCCTGGAAGGGCGTATATGTGGTTGGTATTTTGGGGGTATCTCACTAAGCTTTCAGGCTTACAGTTGTGGTTTTTATGTTTTCAGGTTCTCAGGAGTCTGTGGCAAGGCAAAGGCGTGATCGTACCGTTCCTCGCGTTGGTGTTTTATGAAATGGACCTGGGAAATACTCTGTTAAATACTGTATTGAAAACCTTTTTGTAACAACGTTATTAAAATGGGTTGTTGTTGAAAAGTTTTAATTGTTTCGAAATTTCGGTCGTTACAAGTTGGTATCAGAGCCTTGGTTTGAGTGAATTGGAGGAACACTTGTGTGACTCCAGTCTCAAATCGAGGAAGGTTTTAAAAGAAAAATTAAAATGGTTTTAAAATTAAGTAAAAGGAGGACGCGGGGGGTACGATCAGCCGGAGCCAGTAAGTAACCCCAAATTACCATTCATGACATTTTTTTTATTAAGCTTTGATAGAACAACATGCCAGAGTTAGGCTAGGGATCTTCAGGAATTCATGTTAATGTTGCCTGATTGTGATGCCTGTAGCCTAGGGTTCCTTATGGGAGATTCTCAGTGTTCCCCTAGCGGTGAGGGTTGAGCGTTGTTATGCATGTTTCTCTAGGGTGTCGTGGTAGTACTTCATACAAATATGGGTAGGTGTGGAAGGTAGTATGGGCCCGTACTACTGAAAGCACAGGACCCATACGCGTATCAGGGAAACCATGACCTCTAGGGTTGGGTTGAGAGTTGGTTCCCGGGATAGTGGGAAGAGTCTGAGGTTTTCTAGTATATTTTCAGTATGGAGATTTCGAGGCATGCTGGAAGCGGATCCGGGTCAGGATCGGGTGCAGGAGGAGGAGTTGCGGATGGGTCAGTACCGCCCGAGATTACTGGTCAGATGAGCTCGTGCGAGTTGGATGCGAGGATTCGCGAGATCCTGCATGATGAGGTTGCTGCATTGTTCCGGGCTGAGTTGCCGGAGTTGTTTGGGTTGATCAAGACCGCCATGGTTGAGTATTGTGATGAGCGCTATGCGGCTCTCGCGGAGACGGCTGCCGCGGCGGCTACAATGGCTGTAGCAGCAGTATGGGGAGGAGTTGATAGGGATTTTCAGTATCGGGACTTCAATAATACGGAGCCTCCCACCTTCGATGGAGTTCAGAACCCGATTGTTGCTATGAGATGGTTATCGGACGTGGAGGGGTGTTTCTTCATGTGTTCATGCCCTGCTGATCAGAGGGTAAGGTGTGTCCTGAACCTGTTGAGGCTCGGGGTAAAGGATTGGTGGAGGTTGACCAAGGGGTCATATTTGGATGCGCAAAGGGCTGCGATTTCATGGGATCAGTTCAGAGAGATGTTCAGTCCTCGTTATGTTCCGCAGGTAGAGAGGGAGAGGTTGGCTCGGGAGTTCCTCGAGCTGAAGCAGGATTCGGAGTCGGTGACGGAAATCACCAGGATGTTCACTGAGAGGGCGATGTTTTGCCCTGAGTTCGCTTCGGAGCAGGCTCAGATGTCCCGATATCTGAGTATGCTAAAGAGAGACATCAGACAGTTGTGTCCGCACAGAGGTGCGGGACATTGTTGGAGTTGCAGGAGGCCGCCAGGCGGCGTGAGTTAGAGATTGAGTTGCAGTTGCGTGAGCAGAGGCAAGCTCCGGTTCAGTCGGAGCCGGCAACGAAACGGTCTAAGACCGTTGATTCCAGGATGGGGGATCGGAGCAGCCACACTTGTGGGAAGTGTGGGAGGAGTCACACCGGAGTTTGCAGGTCCGGTGGTGCATGCCGCAAGTGTGGAAAGGAGGGAAACTATGCGAGGGATTGTCGATGGTCAGCTCCGGTTCGGGATTTGAGGAGTTGCTATCATTGTCGTCAGGTTGGACATATGAGGGTCAACTGTCCACAGTTTTCCGCGGGACCGGTGCAAGCTCCAACACCGGCCCCTTTGAGGATTTCAGGAGAAGGTCAGAGTGGAGCGGAGCCCCTAAGGGCTCAGGGTCGTGCTTATTAGCTTGCGGCAGAGGAGGTCAGAGCAGTGCCGGATGCAGCTACGGGTATGTTTCTTTCTGGATGTCATGTTATCTTGCGATTATTGTGGTGTATTGTTTGTGTTTGTATGTTTGTGTGGTTTTGATGCGGTATTTGTCGTTTTGCGGGTTGAGGTTATGGTTATGGATTTGTGTTTCGGGTTTTCGTCTTGGTATCCGTTGTTCCTTGAGGGTTTGGCATGGTTATGGAATTGTGTTTCGGGTTTTCATCTTGGTATCCGTTGTTCCTTGAGGGTTTGGCATGGTTATAAATTTGTGTTTCGAGTTTTCGTCTTGGTATCCGTTGTCCCTTGAGGGTTTGGCATGGTTATGGATTTGTGTTTCGGGTTTTCATCTTGGTATCCGTTGTTCCCGGAGGGTTTGGTATGGTTATAGTTTGGTGTTTTGTGCTTTCGTTGGTTATCATTCGTGAGGGTTATTAGTGGAGATGAAACATTGGGTTGAAGGTCGGGTAGCATCGGCTTTCCGAGGAGTGGTTAGATACAGTTTGAGTTTCTTTCGAGCGGGTTAATCAGTGTTGATGTGAGATCTCGTTAAGGTTGTTTATGCTTGTGGGAAGCAGTCCGCGTGTAAGTGTTTCTTTGTACAGGGTTGTTCTGGAAGGTTGGTGATGTCGATCGGTGATTGTTAATCAGTGCTATAAGTGGGGGAGAATTGGAGAATTCTCTGGGTGGTTGAGGAGTATTTTAGAGTGCTTAGTTGTTGGGATTCAGCAGTGTTCTGTCAACCCAGAGTATAGGCTGATAGGAGCGA